TAAAGATATAATAAATATATTTTTTTATAATTAATATATATAAAAAATAATAAAAATTAATTTAAATTTAATTAATTAATTAAAACTATTTAATTGATCAATTAATTAAATTAAATTAAATATATATATTTTTGTATAAATTAATTATAAAAAAATATATTAATTATATTTTAATTTATACTTTTAAATTATAAATTATATAAATCTTAAAATAAAATATGCTAAAAAAAAAAGGATGGTAAAAAAAAAAAGAAGACACTTTTATTCAAGTTCTCAATAATTTACGGTACTGATATGACCCTATCAAGTTGTGCACAATTTCAATTAACTTAAGAAATTTGAAATTTGATTTCGCGTCCACACCCCTACCACTATAATTGTTTTTTTCCCGTAATTTCTGAGGTTAATGTCAACTATCGTCTCCCTATTATTAAAAATCATTTAATTTAAATTTTATATTTTCAATTCATCTCATGTTCTCTCTCTATTATTAATTAACTACACTGCCCTTACTATCAAAAAAAAGGTATCAATGTTTTCCTCCGTCCAACTTTCTGCCAATTTTAAGGTAATAAACATTTTGTTCACCGTTAACTACTACCCTGTCCTGTCCGACATCCAACCCTTTTTTATTTTTTTTAACAGCGCCTTTAGCGGACCCCAACAACGCCCCATTAACTGACCTTTGATGAGTCTGTAACCGCGACGGCTACCTGATTTTCTCCTCTAAAGTGTGATTTGGGATGTGCAGAAAGACGGTGGAAACTCTCAAAGGAGCAACTAATCAATGGATGAAGAAAACTTCTGAAAATCAAACACAAATACTATCTCCATGTCAAGTTCTCTGTTGTATCCTTCCATGGTACCACCGTATCAAAGGATCACGAAAAATGAATCAATACAGGAAATCGAAATTTTTAATTGTATTTATGGGTGTATATTGTAAAATTTGAATCTCATCTTTAATAAGAAACAATTTCAATTATTTACAGTAAAAACATATTTATTTTAAAATAACAATTTCAGTTATTCACATCTTATATCTCCATATCAACTATGCATATTCCATAACTAAACTATTCATTAGAGAGGTTTTAGATTAGAGATTTGGACTAGTACAACAATAAATTTAATTATCTTTCATTTCACAATAAAATTAATAAGAAATGGACAATAAAATATATAATTCAATAAAAATACTAGAAGCAAACCATCCACTGATCAAAAAATGAAAAATAGACATCATAATAGGTGAGTTAAAGTTTACATATTGAAAGTATTAAATTCAAATAAATCATATTTACTCATTAAAAGTCACACGTTTAAATGTTAAAAAATTAGTACATGTGGGAGTGGTGTGGAAAATAGAACCATCACCTATGAAAAAGGATTTGGGAAATGAGTTAGGATCTATTTGTAATGGTGTAAGTGATATATTGAGTTTTACAATATAAGAGAAAGGTTAACCATCTTGAATTTGAACTCAATTGCAAGGTTTGTTCACCAAAACGAGATAATTTGCAAGTTTTTGAATATAAGAAAAAATTGCAAATAGATTTCAACAAATTTATACTCTAGATGTAAACCTAACTTCAATAATGAAAGTTGTCCAGAGATAACAATAAGACAAAAATTTCAATTCCAGTTATTATTTATTATAGTATAATATTAATATAAATATCAAATTTATTGTGCCCATTATGTTACTAACTAATTCTTATCTTTTTTTACCATAAAAAAATAGAATGAACTGTTTTTGCCCATATAATACCACTAACTAATCTATGTTTTTACTTTTATTACAAAATTTT